AGCAGAAATTAAATGGGGTTTAAATGTAATGTATCAAAAAGGTATCTATTGAAAAAAATTCACAACTGATGCTTTTTCTTTTTTCTTTTTTTCCTTCTTTTTATAGAATCCATTTGTGGGAAATGAGTCCAGACACTAAAATATGGGATAATGTATCTAATCTCTTTTGGAAACAATCTGGGATTATAGAATCAAAGATTGGTAATATGTCAAATATGGGTAGAAACCTCAAATGCCAATCCAGTCTTAATTTTACTGATGAAAATGTTAGATCCAAGGAGCACAAGAAACTTGTGTAAGTCTTCCACTTCATAAGTAAACCAACAAATTTGATTAAAGGTAAAGCAAAATAAGAGGCTTCTGTATGAATTTTAAATTTTATTATATTGCTTATAGTCAACCTCTCCAGAGCGGAGAGTTCCAAAAAACAAACTTAGCATCTCACCAACATAGTGTAGACATTCTGTTGGGTTAGCAAACCCTTCATAGGGGCAGAAAGTGTGGCTTTTGTTTGTTGACATAAGCTATGCAACCTCTGTCGTCAGACATGATCCAGATGGAGGGGAATTGCTCTGAAAAATCAGACTTTCCATACTAACTTATATTATGACTTCCCTTTTTTGTACAATTATAATATCAATTGGACTGCCTCAGCCACATAAGGCCTGCCTGCCCTGACAAGCAAGCACTGTACCAGGGTGAAAAATTCCCCTGAAGTCAAGTGACTTGACTACTGACTGATAAATAAAAGCAAAAGAGCTGTTTTTGGAAAGTCTCTCTCACTGCTGGATGGAGGAAAACCCAAATATTATCATTCTATTATCTCACCTAGCCTTCTATTCAGCTTCTAAAGAATTACTCAAACTTCCTGTTGTTTGGCCTTTAGATGTGGAAATTCATCCAGGTTGCCTAGTCAAGTTTTCTACCTGCTACACCTTAAAGGAGTCCACAAAAGTCTTCTGGCTAGTCTTCCAGGATTTTACTATGTAGTCTTTAGATAAAGAAATTCACCTATGTCTCCTATCCAGAGATTTGATTAGCAATGAATTTCCTCTTCTGTCTCCCAGGATGACTCAGGCAGAAAAAAAAAAAAAAACCATTAAATAGTAGATAAGGTTTAAGGGACTTCTATTTTAGTTTATCTCCACTATAGTAACATTAGTCATAAACTTTGTGCACTTATGTACCTGTTTTTAACCTTAATTGATTTTAGAATGTTATATCTCAGCTAAAGGGCAATACGACCCTAAACTGTTCTTAGAAAAAAAAGATGATTGTAATCTCTCAGCCCAGTTCGTGTGCTGATGTCATCCCACTGCTTGCTCCTAATGTATAAAATAAACCTCTGCTGAAGGCAGAGCAGGAAGACTTGCACCCAGCTCTGACTCCCGTGTCTTCCTCGCCCCCTTCCCCGTTTTTTTCCCCTTTCCTCCTTTTTTTTAGGAATCTCCACTCGCCGACGCCTTCCCACCTTAGGGTCCTGCCTGTCTTGCCTCCAGACACCTCAATAGTTGGAGCTGGTCTCCAACAGTTTGTTCACTTAGAATTAACAGGGAATGTCAGGGTGTAGACAAAGTACAGAGCCCTTTTAGCAGCCAACTTGCAAGAGGTCCTGGATCTAAGTAGAATAGTGATTAAAGTAGAATAGTGATTAAATTCTATTTCCTTAAAACTAAGCTTTCTCTAAACATGGTGTATACTATCTCTGTTTTCCATGAAACATGAAGAAAATGAAACTTCAGAAGGAGACACAAAGACTTGGTGACTAAAGTAAATTCATATAAATAACTTGGAACATCAAGATTAGAACGTCTTTAACATTTCCAAAGTCCTAGAGGCATAATTTCCACAAAAAGATATTTACCCCAGAAACAGCTGACTGTGCTGTGACTTCACAATAATGTGAGCATTCAGAAGAGGTAAAACCATCTTCATCCTTGACCTGGTCCTGTCATTTAACAACTGCATGAACTCAGATGGAGGCTGTCCTAAGCACTGTGTTTCACTGGCAGTGTGGTTGTTTCTGGGGTGTGAAATAAACCTCTGCTGTTAGAACAGAGAAAGGTCAAGTTTTATCATTGAGACTGATAGATTTCGACCCTTAAAAAATAACATGGCAGTATATTTACTACTTCCAGGAGCTTTAAACACACACATACACATCCACACGAATGCTGCTACATACATTTGAAAATTAAATTCCTAATTTCCTTGCCAGATATGGCATGTTTCTTGAAGAGGGTAAATTTCTAAAATGAGACATTTATTCAAGCTCATTATAAAGTATAATTTTTCCAGAATATTTGAGTGTCCAAAGGTAAATTAAAGAGATGTGTACAAAGTGAAACTCTTTTTCTAATTAAATCACTGACATGCTAAAAACTTCATCTGGAAAAAAAAAGTTCTTCAGCAAGAGCATCAGCAGCATAGCCTTTAGTTCTTTTCTAGTTTTAAAGGCATAGCATTGAATGTCTCCAATACCAGCCCTGAGGTACCTTGAAAGATTCTGAGTCACTTTGGCACAGACTTACCTTCTACCTGAAGGGTGGATGTCTTCTCCTGGGTTTATGAAACTGGTGTGTCTATATTGACCAACCTACTTCTTGCACCTGAACAAACCTTTCACTCAAAACTAGTTTCTTCTCTGTATGGAACCTGAGGCAACCTTTTGTTAAAATCAAATGGTAATGACTTTAATCTGACTGCAGAATTAAAGCAACTAAATAAGGTGACGGGGTATGGAGAACAAAAGGAGTAGGGGACACAATGGACTATGCTGGAGGATTATGGGTGTTTGGGTGGTGGGCTTGATGTGTTTACAAATGTTATTACATATCTGAGAGGTGTGAACCAGCATCCTAAATCCTGTAGTGTCATAAAGCAATGTTTCCCCAATAAAAACAAAGATAATTATTAAAAAAAATGACTATAATGCCAAGAGTATAATATATGTAGGTATTTCATTTGCCCCTCACCCACATTCTGGGGCATTGTGCTCATTTGTAAAGCTAGTATTCAATCATTTCATTGCCTTCTTTGAAACCCTTTGTTTCCACTTGTTTTTAGGATAAAGTTTGTATTTTCTTAAACTGGAAAACAGAGCTTTGCATGATCCATTCATTCAGTCCACGATTTTTCTCCTGGATACGTTGTTTTCCATGCCAACAGCCTTTCATCAGCACTAGTCATCTCCCCTCTGTGCCAGCAATAATGTCTCAGCCTGATATAACATTTCCCAGCCTCCCAACCCCCTGGGTCATGATCTGCAATCATCTTGCATGCTGCGACCAAGCTTCAAACACCTCAGGCCACCACCACTCCTCACTCCACCTACATGAGTTTCCTCCAGCCAGTCCTTCTTTCTTCCAGGACACTGTTTCTGTTTCTAATTATAAACATCTTCCTGTACTAACTGCATCCCCTGTGAGGGATGAACTTGGTTTTGTTAAGCATTGTGCTTCCTGGACCTGAAAGAAAGTGGTTGCCCAAAATACACATACACATGCATGCCAATGATTCTGGTTTATCGTAGTTAGTCAAAAGAGTAGTTACATCATTTTAAAAATTTATTTAAACTATCAAATACAAAAAACATGCTTTCTTAGTTATTAAGAAGAGTGATGTTGCTTCAAAGTAGTTTCCTTCCTCCAGGTTCTGAATACTGAATTACTGCCAAACAAATGACAGCTTTTCCTTCATCACACACTCCCAGCACCCCACAACCACTCAGTAACTGAGAAAAGTCATCATTTTTGAACCTGCCAACATGATAATCTTCCTTCCTTTCTTCCTGCTTTCTTTTCTTCCCTCCCTGCCTCCACCTCTCTCTCCTTCCTATCTTCCCCCTTTCCTTCATTTCTTCCTTCATCCTTTCCTATAATCAATGCCATTGAGAAAAAGCACTGAAATAGTGGTATATATTCTTATAACCACATTTTCATGTGCAAGCCCCACGATAACTCTATCAAGTAGGTATTATCTTCAACAAAAGAAAATATGAAAAGTAAATTGGTGTGTTAGACATCATCACACAGTAACTTACAAGAACTGTGGCTGGAACACTGGACTTCAGACTCCTAGAGTGCTTTCTAATACCACCCTGGGTAAGTTAGCTAGCTCAACGACAGTATCTTACAGAAACCATAGATAACCTTAAAGGAAAGAAATAAAACTGTGGCAGCAGTTCTAGAAAATGTAGAGAGTTATTCTAGAAACACTTTGACACATAGCAAGGTCATGGCAGCTTCCAAAGGACAAGAAAACTTATGGATCTCATCACTCATGTTAGGTCATCTTGGCAATAGCTGACTCTGACATTTTGCCTGTCACTCACATGCACTGAAAGGCATGACATTTCTTACATCTTTGAAAACATAGATAAAATAAAAGAAATTGCTCTCATTCTGAAATTTACCTCTGTTTGACCAAAGGGGTTGCCAATAGGGCAGGGATAAAACACACACAAAAAAGGGGAGGGTCCCCTAAAAAAGAAACAGGATACTACCATGGTTCACACTTGTAAACTTGCCTTCTATAATATATCTTCTCTCCACACTGTGCCTTTCGTATTGAAAGGATGAGCAAAAATCTTGCTGTACTCTCTTCATCTGTCCTCCCAAGATTACTGAGAATTGATGTCCTCTCAGGTGTAGAAACCACACTTGCTTGGCTATAATTTCACTCAAAGAGTTGTTCTGAGGTTCAACTACACAAGCTAGATAGATATGTGGTATGACCTGTTGACCATACCACAAAGGGAGTCATTTCCTCAAGGTCACAAAGAAGTCAACTGCAGAATTATTTCTAGAGTTTTTGTCTTCTGAAGACCCAGCGTATAGAACCTGGCTTTCTCTCATTCACTTGTGCCCTGTGAATGAATACTGTGGTTGTTAGTCAGCCCAGTTTTCCAGAACCACTCGTTGCTGTACATTGAGCCCTCCTGGTTGGAATTATTACCATGTGATCATGACATCACAGGAGCCTGACAATTCCGTCTCCTCATGTTTCGAGCACAGTCACGGGATGATAATGGGAAAGACCTGGGGAAAATATACTGCACCTATGAGGTCCAAGCAGCCTTTATTCTCTCCTCCTTTGTGACCTTCTTCAGTGGACTCCTCATCTTATTCATTTGCAGGCTAATTTGGAGGGCCATAAGAAAATGGCGAAACATCAAGGGAACAGGAATACTCTTGGTCAGTGTCCTTACTAGGGATACCACTGTATGAAGATCAAAGACAGGTTTGGCATATGTTTTTGTGTTTAGAAAACAATATAGGTTTCACACAGTTTCCGTGGGTGAATGGAATCAGCACTGATCTGGTGTCTTGGAAAGAGGCAGATCCTGCTTTGGGGTGCAAAGCAAAAACCTCTGACTAAAAAGACAAAGTCAGGGCTTGTCTCCTGATTTCATAGAAGCAATGACTTTGATGAATGATGATGAATGTTAGCTGTGAAAAAGCAGAGGTCACCACCACCCCACCCCCAAAGTGTACATGTCTTCACCTTCCTTTTGAATTTGAAAATGACTGTTGTGCTAAGTGTTATGAGAGAGGCAAAATGGATTATCATGGTCAACCTAGCATCACAGATTGTTCCTGTATGATGCACTGGCACTCACACAGGCATACTGCCTCTCCTGCGACCTGTTAACACAACAATCTGAGCTGCTCATGCCTGTGCCATCCAGCCACAACCCAGAACACCTTTTCTTTCTGAGGGTGGGTGTCGCTGACTAAAAGCTGCCAAGTGAGAATGATAAGAATGATGGTATTTTATCCAGATCAGACTTTAAGAACTTACAATAAAACTTTCAAATATTACACAATGACTGCCTTATTGCTAGTGGTTAAAGGCAAAGAACTTGATTGTTGCATGTGTGGTTTGTTATCATTTTTGCTTCCCAAATTTGCTTCTCTGATAGAGTGTAGTAATTTCCTTAATAGAACACATTTCACCGGTGTGTTATAATGAATATTGAAAATTTGCTTAAAAGATTTAAAGCTAAATGCTGGGATAACAGAATGAATAATTACTTGGTACTTTTAAAAGTCATTCATTATCCTCTGGTTTTTGGATTGAAGTTCATAGATTTTGTTGCTAAATGAGTTCACCCAGTAATTATTTCTAGATTAAGGATTTTAAACTATGACATAGAAATTGAAGAAAATTCTAAAGCACTGAATTCTTAGCAAGACTGACAGTGTCCATTGAGTAAATGGCATAGTGAGTCTTCCTCATGGTCTCTCAACTTTTGTATTTTCAGTATACACCTGATCTGGAGAATGTTTAATCTCTTTGGACTTTTGTTCTAGGGAGTATAGATATTTGCTGTATTTTTCACTTGTTTCTTTGAATATAATTCATGTCAAACTTCAGTCCCAAGATATCTTTTAATTTCAAATAGGAAGCAAATTTTATAAAATGTTAAGAAGTGGGATCTAAGCAACCAGAATCCTATATTGTTTTATTTTTGAATCTTGAGGGAAGATTTTGATTAAAGTCAAAAGACTTTTCAATGTGTTACTCAATTAAATTGAGTCTGCTGTATTTTTTTCCTAAGTCTTATGGAAGTTGACCTAATACAAAATATTACAAACCTAGGTGCTGGCTTTCAAAAGTTAAGTCATCATTTTCTCCTTAAATCTACATTTTTAAAAGATTTCCTTCACTAAGCACAGATAAGCCAGACAGGAAAAGACACTTTATGACTTTACATATATGGTATGTAGAGGGGAAAAAAAATGTCTGGACTGTATGATTAGTGGTTATCAGAAGTGAAAAGGGTATAGATCAGGAAAAGGAAATTTTGGTATGGCGAAAGATAGCTTTGAACTTTTAGTGGTGAAATTTAATGTAAGTATATATATATGCTAATTCTCAAAGATGAACACCTAAACTTTTATGGTGTTATCATGCCATGTTACATCAATAAAAAAATTATTGATTACATTCCTAAGCCCAATTTTTTTTATATTTCAGGGTCAGTTTATTTTCCCATGGAAGCTATCTCTGTTGTGATGATGGAGTTCACATGAGTGCCCTATTGATGTCATAGTGAATGTATTTTTAAAAATCAATTCTCAGACATCGTCTCAGGAATGCACATGATGAGTCTTAGGCATTATAGGGCAAATTGTTGATCAATAAGTGAACTGTATCTGATGGTCACCCAGTGGGACTTTCCCAGCATTCAGAATATAGTAGAAAAATCAGGTCATTTTAAAACCCCAGATGCACTTAAAATGAGGTTGGTAAACATCAGAGGGTCTCAGCGTGGTGTGATCATTCCTTGCTCACTTTCTTCTTTCTCTGATAATTCAAGGCCAGCACAGTTGGGGTAAACTTTCTCAGACTCTAGTCTTTCCAATTGCTGGCTCATGGGAAAGTCATTTAATTTATCTTCACCTTGACTTCCTTATCAATTTTAAGTGGGTTTGCTCATACTTCCAGTGTCTATCTCATAAGATTATTATAAGTTATAAATATAATAATTATATAATGTAATTATACAATTATGTAACTGTGAAGGAGTATAATTTCACCAGGACATGATGCCAGATAAGGCAACATAAAATTGCTGAAATTTTCCTTCTTTTGCTCTCAAGAAAAAGGAGGTTGTGGAGGGCAGATTCTTAAGCAATTACCTGAAAATCATTGTTTTTTAAAAAGATTTATTTATGTTTATAGAACTGAGGTATAGGTCAGAGGTGTGGTAGGTAAGAGGATTTACCAGAGACAGAGTGGGGAGCAGAACAGGCAGACTGACAAAGTATACTGGTGAGGGAAGCAGCAGGCGGGTCAGGAGAGGTCTGCCATGCCATGTGGGTCAGCTCCCGAACCGGGGATCGAACTCGTGCTGCAGTGGCTTCGGAAAGCTTCATCATGCAGTGCTTTAACCAGTTGTGCCACCAAGGAGAGCCCTGAAAAAATCCATTTGTAATCTTTGTCTATGTATTTTGACAGAAAAGGATAAGAACCTAATTCCCAAGGAAGAAAAAAGCATGTTGTGCTCAATCCTGATCAGCACAATAATGTTACTTAGAAGGGTCTGGGACTGAGAACATCTGAGAAAGGCATGATGAGGACTGCAGAATTCAGGATTAAAATCTGTGCAGAAAATCAGTAAAATGCAAGCCCAATGACATTCATTTTATGAAATACTGAACAAACAACTTCAAGGTTCTCTCAGTTGGACAAGGTGGAGTGATTCTGGCTGGTAGCACAGCAGGAGACTCCATCACCATACGTAACATAGTATTTGCTTTGAGATCCAGCTTACTCTCAATTCCTTTCTCTTGCTTATAGGAGCTAATTTTATCAGGTGGTATTCTCAAAAAGCGTTTCGACAGCCTCCACTTCCATGGAATATTCCGTGATCGTATAGAAATGTTGCTTTCTGCACAGACCTTTGTGGGGCAAGTGTTGGTAAGTAGATTTTCACTGTTAGTTTACTAGTGGACTTCAACCATGAGGCTGATTATAATCACTCTACATAAGCTTACCACCCAGATACATATCTGGTATTTCTTGGTAGGAAACCCGATCTCCATAAGTCCATCACTTTTTCTGTTATTTGACTTTTTTTTTGGAGTGATTGTAATTATTTAGCATTATACTTTACATTCACTGTCACCCTATTCTGTAGGAAAAAAGTCTTTATTATGGCAAAGGTTGATGAATTTTGTCCTGCTTTTATTAGATATATATTAGATCTATCTGGCCTATATTAGATAATCAAAAAATGTGATGTTCAGTCGATCCATCTGTTTTGAAAAAATACAGCTATTTTCCTTTCCTTAATTCCAATAACCTCTTATTTATTATCCAAACTAGTCTTTTTTACCCCTACATGATATTTAGTGTTTTACTTCTTGTTTTAATTGAAACAACTTGCATAAATTAGAACTATTCTCAGCATCATATTTGCAGGAATTCTTAACCTTATGCCCATGGGTAAAGAGTCCATACTATCTTCCATAGGCTGAGAATCCTTGGAAGCTTCTGTAATATTAATTGAGCAGTTATTAAAATTATCTGTACATATGTCTATGACCCCCAGTGTACTGTAAATTCCTTGAGACACAGACAATTTCAATAAGGTGTTTATATCCCATTGTCTGGGAATAGCAAATGCCTCATCAACGAATATTGCACCGATCATCATTTGATCTGAAATATTTAAAAGTCTGGAATTTGAGGGTATACTGCCATCAGATGGTGGTTTGGTGGAAGATAATATGTGTGAAATAGAGAACACTCTCTTGTTTTTATCTCTAGTAAAAGTATTGCTTTGTTTCTAGTTACTGCTGCTTAATTCAGACATAATTCATTTTATACTTATTTGGAAGTATATAGGTAAAATTGCTTTTATGAAATCTGCAGGAGATGTGGAATCACCTGGGAAGGTGTCTCTCTTCTTCCTGCCTTGTCAGGTTTTGGTCGCTTTTCTTAAATCCCTATCGGTTTTAGCTGTTGTAGGAAGATTTGTGATTCTTTCTGATCATGATTTCTTGGTTATGAGCTTTTCAAATATTCAAATCATGTTTGACTGTATGAGGATAATACTGGTGATAATGTTGAAAGATTTCTGGGGTAAAGCAGAAGAGAGCTTACACCACTGACTGTATGAGCCCTGTATATGGAGAGAGGGAGAAGGAAAAATCATTGATACCAGTAAAAGTACTTTTTCAGTGATGAAAAAATCATTGCTTCAGTCTGATTATGTAGTTGAAACAATAGGAGGCATGGTGCAAAGGTCAAATTAGAGTAAATACTCTAACACTGAAACATATAATTGAGACTCTCAATAGGGGTTCCTCACAAACATTTTATTACAAAATGATTAAATGAGATAATCCTTCCTTGTTTTTTATCTTTGTAATTCTCTCACCTCCTCTCAGCAAAACACATGCCAGGCAGACATTTATATGAAAACACAAATAAAAAATGTGATTAAGGTCTTGCTTGCATTTAATGGGACTTAAATTTCAGTGGGGATAAAAATAAATATGTTCAGATGGTGATCAATGCTGTGAAGGGAGTTATGAATGATGTGTTTGAGAATTTGGGTAGTTACGGAGTTAGGTCAATTAGATAAAGTGATCTGGGAAGAAATCTCTGAAAAGTGAAGATTTGAGCTGATGCATGAAAAACCAGAAGGACCAATGGAAGAATGGAGAGGACAAGATTCCCAAAAAGAGCACAAAATAAGGAGATTTCTTACTGAAGGTATCAAAATGAAACTCCAGTGTAACAAGTCAAGTGGGCAGAGGAGGATGAGGTCTGAAAGGAGCCTGGAGAAGCATGTGTGTGTTATAGTAAGGAGCAGGGCTAGCCAATCACAGTGCACTTATTTTAATGCAACAGGTGGTCATTAATGTTTTTCCTTAAATATGGGTTTGACATAGTCTAATTAGATTTTTTAAAAGTTAAAAGGCACTGAATGAGAAAATAAAGGAATTATCAATGGCATGCAAGGTAAATTAAAATAGGAATTAGGAATACAGTTTTAATGTCACATAAATTTGACTTAAGGCAGAAACAATAACTAAAGCCAAACAAGGTTTACTAGGGCTGCGGTAGCAAAGTATCACAAAATAAATGGCTTAAAAAACAGAAATAAATTGTGTCAGTGTTCTGGAGTCTAAGATCAAGGATTCATTCCTTTTTCTTTTGCAATCTCTTTACCTCCATGCCAATACTTGTTATTTTCTTTTTTTATTGAACTAGCATTGTTTGTAAACATCATGCAATTTTCAGATGTACCATACTTTGAAATCCATGTATATTAAATTATGGTCATCACCAAAAGTCTAATCTCTGTTCACCATCATACAACTGATTCTTTTGCTAGTTTTACCCACCCCACCATCACACTTTCCCTCTAATAACCACCATAATCTTTTCACAATCTGTTTTTGCTTTGTTTCCCTGGTTCATGTATTTGATTATCTTCCCTGTAGCAGGTCCTGAATGAAATTGTACAACTTATGTTCTTCTCCACGTGGTATTTTCAGCTTGCAAAATACCTTCTATATCCATCCATCTTGTCATAATTGCAGAATTTGATCCTTTTTATTAGCTGAGTGGTATTGTACATATATGCCACATCATCTTTATCCACATATGGGTGTTTAGATTGTTTCCAGGTCTTGGCTATTGAAAATAATACTGCAATGACATAGGGGTGTAAACAGTTCTTTTTTTTTTTTTTTTGTATTCTTCAGATAAATACCAGGAGAGGTAGAGCTGAATCATATGGCATTTCTATTTTTAATTTGCTGAGGAATCACCATACTGTTTTCCACAGTGGTTACACCAGTTTACAACAGTGCAGTCTATGTCCCATCTTTGCCAGCTCTTTCTGTTTCTTGTCTTTTTTGATAAGTCATTTTGACAAATGTGAGTTATTAACTCCTTGTGGTTTTGATTCGCGCTTCCCTAATGATAAGTGATGGTAAGCATCTTTCCTTGTCTGGTGGCCATGTGTATGTCTTCCTGGGAGTAGTGTCTATTAAGATCCTCTGCTCATTTTTTGATTGAGCTGCTCTGGCCTGAACTGTGGCAGCAGAGATGAAATGGGGAGTTGCTATCATGCATGCTTTTGTTACTTCTCCCTTCCTCAGGGTTTCTATTCCTTGTCTCCACCACCACGGGGTTTTCTTAGGCTGAAGGTAAAGGTATCTACACTGTCTGTGCTGGCCCCTCACTGGGATTATGGATTGGGCTGTTCCTCCAGCTCCGATGCCTTCACTGGCCCCGATCTTCCCACTGTCAGACACACTGGGCATCTCTCTGGGGTCCTGATGTGATAAAAAGAGGAACACTTGATGAACTATAGCTGTCCTATTAGTTGTAGATTAAACAGAAGTAACAAAGGAAGGATCCCATGCTAACATGATACTCTTCTCACTCTCAAGGTTTGGTTCTTTCTGGGGTTGTGAGTTTACCATACCTCTCTAGCTTGTGGAAGCTTGTTGGTAGTTTTTGACATTCCTTGACTTATAAATGTACCAGATATTTATCTTCATTTTCACATATAATACAGAGAATGTTGTCTCCGTTAATCTCAACAACAAATTTCCCATTCTTATAAGGACATGACCATATTGAATTATATTCAGTCCTTATGGCCTTAATTTGATTATAGCTGCAAAAGTCCTGTTTCCAAACATAGTCATTTTTGAGGTACTATGGGTAAGGACTTCAACAGAACTTGTGGGTATGATACACTCAACACATAACCTTTGTGATATCAATGAAATATATCTCAACCAAGATATAGCATGATAGTTATCACTGCACCAAAAATATAACTTCAAGATAAGTAATTAATGAGATAATAAAAGCAAAATATTGCAAACATATTGGTAATAGGAGCTTTTACTTTACCTATTTCAAAACAAGTCATACAAAACATATAACATACTATATGAAAAAACATGAAGCATAAAAACATGCAGAAAGAGAGGCTCCCTCTGGTGGCACAAAGGGGTTAAGCACTGCACTATGAAGCTACCCATAGCCACTGCAGCATGAGTTAGATCCCCTGCCAAGGAGATGACCCACATAGCATGGCAGACATCTCCTTTTCCACCTGCTGTACCCCTCAGCAGTGTACCTCAACCTACCTGTTCTGTTCCCCAATCTATCGCTGGTGAATCCTCTCACTCCCTGTACCTCTGGCCTGTACCACAGTTATTGTATGCATAAATAAATAAGGATTTAAAAAATAAGCATAAAAACCAATAGAGTTTAATTAATAAGAAAGAATTGATAGGCATGGAAACTTCATATGCTAAAAACAGAAATTAAACTTTCAAATTTCTATTGATGGTTTGTAAAAATTAAATATATATTAGGCCACCAAAAACAGTCCAATTATAAAACTTATATAGTCAGATGATGTTAACTGCAGTAAATAAAGTACAGTAAATACAGAAAATAATGGATAAACCCAGGAAAAAGAACCAAAAACAAAGCCCTGACAAACATTCATAAATAATTTAATTATGAATTATTTATGAATCAGAGAAACCAACATGATTTAAGAATATTTAAAGCATAAAGGTAATGAAAAAATTACCTACCCCTCACACTGATAGTATGAGAAAACAGTTGTTCTTTATTTATTGCACAGCAATGAGATCTTAATATGGTAGATATTAAATGAAGTATAGGTCTAAAAGGTAAAAAAAATAAAAGTTTAAATCTAAACACAATGCATATAAAAATAGTAAGAAATTAAGGAGTTATAAAACAGCTGATTATCTGAAATAACTCAACAGAGAAATCAACAGCAAGCCTAAACAAGAAAAAAAAAAAGTTGGGGAGAGAAACAAAAACTATAGCAAACTAATAGGGTCTCTTGTTCCTAAAAGCCTATGTGTTTGGACAATAAATGAATCAACTGCCTTATCTTTAAGTGAAAAGTTTTGTTTTTTGAAGCTCGGAGAACTTTTTCCAAGGAAACTGAACTGTTGCAGAACATGCCTAAATTGTCTTTGTCCACTGCATAGACTAAACTCCACTGTTATAAGAATCTCTTTTCTCACTACTCCTACTTCACATCCATCTCTTTCTCTCCTCACAGGTCATGTTCCTTCCTCCATGTCTGGTCTCACTTAATATGGCGGAGATTTATGCATTTCATTAGTCTCACACTATAAATATATGTAAATATAATTAGTACTTTCAATCCCTCTTAATTTTAACATTATATTTTCCCCCTTGGTTTGATTTTTTTCCCCTTCTACTAAGTTTTAATAAGTGATTATACTGTTAAGGGGAAGGATGTCCTAAAGGAACTCTGCAGAGTCTTATGGACTCCACCGCCTACTCCAGCTTTCTGGACTCTACTACCCCCTACTCCAGTGATTGGAAACTACAACTCCCAGCAGTACTAGGGAGAGAACTGCGAGGACCCAAGGGTGGAGCTAGCAGGAATTCTGGGACATTTGGGGGATTAATATGGTGCAACTGCATCTCTCTCTCTTTTTCGATAAACAGCGTGACTTGGTGTTTTCAGTCAGCCAAGTGGGTAATGTCTTCCAGTTACTTTATATACCGCTCTCTTTCCCTGGGTTGTTTCCTATTCCTTCCCGTTTTGTAAATAAACTCATTATTGACCCTTTTGTGTGTACTTGCAATATAACTGAATTGTGAGCATGCGAGTGAGGCCCCACAGACAGGCAGCCCAGTCCCCTCTGGGCTACCCTGTAACAATACTACACATGCTACCCCACCGGTTCAGGGGACAATGTTCCAGTAAACCTTTTTGGATATTAAATCTGTTGTGTATTTGTGTATGTATCATCCCAAGCTTTACTCTTTGAGTTTCTTGGGAAAAATCCACAAGTCAACTTGTTTCTCCTTTGCTAGAAAATGGGACAAGGTTCTAGCACCGCCTCCAAAAAAAAAAAAAAAGAAGAAGAAGAAATAGCAGGCTTGTCAGTCTTGTGTCTTGTAAACTTTGCTCTACAAAAGAGGCATTCTTGAGCCACCATGTTTTTCTACCATGGCAGCAGCTCACACTATGCCTTGAGGCAGAGGACCTTCTCCCTCCCCCCCTCCCCACCAGCAGTAGCCAGCCAGGTGCCATTTCTCTTAGCCAATTTATACACATCATGCTTCCTTGTGAGTCCCCTGAGCACCCCCGAAAGCCTCCAGCAGGCTGTGCAACAGCGTCTCAGACACCAGCATCTGCAGGTATTCTTTCCCAGGCTTTAATGGTCAAGGCCACTGGTAGGAATGGCCATCCATTAGGCCACCGCTTTAGGAGGTGTTATCAGCCCATCACAGGCTGAAGCTTTTCCACCAAGAGCAGGACCATAGCATAGCAATGAAGTTCAATGGCTGCCTGTCCCTCTGAGCAAGCAGCAGTCCTTCTCAAACTACTTCATCCGGGGCTTCCCAGGCACCGCCCTGAGAGTTCTAAGCACTGCTAGAGCAGCTATGTTTCTTCCTCACATAATGTAGGGCAATTTACTAGTCCCTGGGAATCCAAACACGGGAGGTTTTTTTCATCATTTGATAGTTTTGGTAAGCACAAAACCTGGGCTTGAGCTGGGCTTGGTACTTCCTCAGCATTCACTCTGCCATGTGCTGGTGGTAATATTCCTCCTCAGTTTGAGAAACCCTGTATTGGGTCCTCCTCCTCTGCCCCCAACCCGCCAACCCCCCCCCATCCCCATCAGCATGGAAGCTTCAGGCCAGCACAGAGCCCACCAGGCACCTGGTCCCATGAGGCTCTCACTGCCTTTACCACTAGCCCATCAGGGATGTGCTAAACTCTTCAACTTCTTGAGCTGAATTTGGTTTACAATTTTTTTTTCCCCTTCAGAGTACTTCCTTGACCATATCTTATAGATTTGGCAAGTAAAGTTCTTATTTTTATTGATGCATAATTCAAATATAAGTTGTTTAAATTTTAATTTGATTTCCCATTTAATTCATGATCTCTTTAGAGGAATATTGTATGCTTTTATTTTCTTGAGGTTAGAGTGGCTCTCTTTTCTCCTTTAGTAAAATTTATGCTCTAAGAATATCATTGCATTTATGACTTCTAGTTTATACAATTTATGGGGAAATTCTTTGTTACCTAGTGCATGATCAATTTTTACTACTATTTAATGGACTTTTGAAAGCATATGTATTATCTGTTTGATATGTAAGCACTATTAATTATGTTATATGTTTTATCCATAGTCTTAATTATTTGCTATCTGATTGAAAGAGGCATGCCAAAAATTCTCATTTATAATTTTATAGCTTTATCAAATATCTTACTTTGCCAAAGGATTTTGAATTACATATTTTATATAACATCAATTAGTGTATAACATTACCTATTATAGCTTCTTGGTTGTGCCTTTTAACAATATGAAATATTCATTTTTGTCATATTTAGTGATTTTTTTCCATATTTTGTTTTTCCTGCCTGGAGTACTGTAGAATATTAGAATGTAACAGGCTTTCATGTTATTCATACTTTCAATCTTTGCCCTATTGCCTTTTAAGCATGCCTCTTATAAGTATCAGGTAGCTGGATTTTTGTTATTTTATGGGTTAAGAATGCATTTAATTGTTACTTTACCAAGAGAATTATTCTCCTTTATGGTCCTGTTTCATTGGTCTTTATAGTAGTTAGAGATTGAATTTGCTGCATAATAGGATATCTAGATTTTATTGTCTTCTAACACATGGCAAGTCTGTTAGTAAAGAAGGAAGAATGCTTATTGGATACACACTAAGAACTGCCTCACAGCCTACTCTCTTACTAGAGAAGCAGAATTACATGATGATTGTGAATCCAACATTAGCTCCTCTAGTTCCTACAGTGTAATTTTGAGAAAGTACTAATTCATGTACTGATAATATTATTATACAGTAAAAAGTAATACAGAGAGACATATACAGTGCTTATAAAGCATCCAAGGCATACTAAGTAGTGCCCACTGGCTAATTGTTAATTGTTGCCATTATTGATTAAGTGATTGGTTGCTACTCTTTTTTGTATATTTTGACTTGAGTAGTTCCATTTTTAATAGAAAATCAGAGGCATTTAGACAAATAAAACAGACTCCAATCTCTATTCTCTGTGTATCTCTGCATGCTATATTTATATTGTCAGTTGGCTTTAGTTCATAGCCTTTCTGGCTTAGACAGACCTTTCTATGCCTCCCAAATGGCCAGCACTTGCTGATGTTGCCCTCTAGAATAAAGACATATATAGATCTACCAGAATTATTTCCCATTTCCACCTGACTCACTGAACAGTGTTCTCAGACTGGTAGTGCCTAGTGCCTTCTTTTGGTGTGACATACATTTTAATGTTTGATATATCTGTATAGCATTCTTTAGGCTTGTTGCATGATATTGGTAGTTTCCAAAAAGCATACAGAATTCGGGTCAGGCCAGAGGTGCAGGGGAAATGAGAGGACTCCCCAGAGATAGAGTGGGGAGCAGAAGAGGCAGATCGATGACGTACACTGCTGAGGGGAGCAGTGGGCGAGCTAGGAGAGGTCTGCCACTCCAGTGGATCACCTCCGGGGCTGGGACTGAACTCACACTGAGGCATTCAGCTAGCTTGCAGTGCTGCATCCCAACCCATTGCACCACCAGGGAGGGCCTCATTTTGTTTTAATTGCATTATTTTTATTGAATTTATGTTGATTTATAACAATATATCTGATAGAGGAAACTGGTTCACACCTCTTCAAATATATATTGCCACAAAAGCACCCATAATCCTCTACCCACATCCACTGGGTTCCTGTCTGATTAGTTCCCCACTTCTGGTAGTCTCAACTCTATGGACATATTTCAAGGTTTGTCTTTGGTTTAGTTTTGACTATTCCTTTGTTTTACTTCTTTGTAGTCCACATGCATAAAATCTTATGATGTTTAACTTCCCCTTAATTTGTCTAGCATAATTTTCTTCAGTTCTATTTTGTGGCAAAAGACAAGATTTCATCCTTTTTAAAGCTGAGTAAATTTCCATTGTGCATATATACCTCATCTTAATCCATTCATCTTTTGTTGGACACTTGTTCTGTAACCTAAAGAGTGCATTATAATACTATTAGAAAAAAAAAAAAAAACAGCACATCGAATTGGCAGGCTACTATAGCAATGTAAAAAATCAGGTTCATTCCTACATGCATGCAAACAATAAACTGGAAGATACAAATTTAACAATGAAGTTGAACAAACCAGCATGATGAAAACCATAAGACATTTTTAAAAGAAATAGAAGACCAAAAACTTCCATTCTGTGAGATATTCCATGCTCACAGAATGGAAAAGTTGACTTTGTTAAAATGACCACAGCATTATACAACTTTAGTGTACTATCAGAGTTACAGTGTCTTGCCTGTCCATTGTCAAATTGACAACAAACCCTAAAAAGCTAACATTAGGACTAAGGCTGTAAAAGGGGAGAGTGTGGGCCAAGAGCAAAGTGGGGAGGGAGCCCACTGTTTTAGATGGTGGGTGTGACAAGGTAACACAGCCTGAGGGGAGATCTCCTATGCTTCTGAAACACAGATAAACCTGCAAACCAACATTATCTCAACAAAAAGAAAAAAAAATGGGTAGTGATTTCAACATTCACTTATTGAATACTCACTAAAGGCTTAGTTAGTTTTTCTTGAATGAATGCTAGCATAAATGAATGTCTGGAAAAATCTTTCTCTCCAGACAGATACATAATAAATAAAAAAAAATAAATAAATTTGGATTGTTTATTCATCTATATTCATGTCAATAAAGTGGATTTGTTTCTCTTTTTGTTGTTTTTTAGGTGATCCTTGTCTTTGTACTAAGCATTGGATCTCTTGTGATCTATTTCATCAACTCTACTGAGTAAGTAAAATCCCCGATCACTATTGTCTGCTGTATCAGTAGATTGCCAGCTAATTTGGGATTTCCTCTCAGGATCAATGCTGAATACACACAAACACACACACACACATATGGATACATGTTTAGCTCTCCCCATGAAACATTAAACACAATTACACAAATATCAAAACTTGCTTGACTTTGCTGACTTACATTTCTCCATGCTGCTAGGAATCGGGTGCTTTGCACACTGTAGTGTCTCTGAGACTCTAAACCTCGTTTTCTCCAGTTTTCTACCCTGAGTCACTTATGAGGTTATCTCACACCTTTGGATTCCTTAGGTGTTGAAGCACACAGCACACATCCTGTAGTGATTACAACATTTCTCATAGGTTTCAAACAACTTTGAATGGTTTTTGAGAAAAGAAAATGCTAGACCTCACCTCACCTGGGAATAAAGGAACAAGTTCTCTGAAGGACTCAACCTACCAAATCCAAACTCTGTACTGATTCTTTGGAAATGATGTTGGAAATAGTATTGGAATTGTAAGGACACAAAATTCAGACAACTTTAAATATACTAGGGAAGTCAGTAGTCTTTACTTTGCGAATTCCTTACGGGTCTTTTAAGAAATTCTTCTAATTTGGTTCAGATTACTTCATTTGAGTTGTAGTAACTGTATATCAGGGAAGCATGAAAGACAAACTGTCCTGACTGGACGAATGATCTCTCCAACCAGGAGTCCTCTGAATACTCATTTCCAATGATAAAATGGACTAGAACCAATAAACCCTGAAAGGAAGAACATGTAATTTTCCTGTTATTTTCAACTCCATGCACACACAACATAGTGGTGGTATTCATACATATTTCTACTCCTAGAAGAAAAATAATTTCTCTTCATATCTGAACTGAAGCATCTGGATGGGCTATTCATGCTGAATAAATAGAAAATTGTTTACCTGTCCTTTTATTGGTCCTATAGCAAAAACACTTTTAAAAATGTTCATTTTTGTAAATTGTCCTTTTTCTTTTTCAGTCCTGTTGGAAGCTGTTCTTCATACCAAGACAAAACCATTCCCATTGATTTGACTTTCAATGCTTTCTTTAGTTTCTATTTTGGGTTGAGGGTAAGTACCTATTGAAAGCGGGAGTAAACAGACAAACACAACAGGCACAACATAAAGAGATTTGTGCGTGCTTTAGTTATACAATCTGCCTGTGTTTTCAGTCTCTAAAACTAGAGCCGGGCCTGTGCCCTAAATGTTAAATGTATGAGAAGTCAAATTCTCTCTCATGAAACTGTGTATCAGGCCAAAAATTCCAATGCAAATGAAAACGATTCCTTTTTTTAAATATCATCACCCTGTCACAGAATCCTCTTTATTGGCTTCCCACCTCCCACTGAGAAAGCTTTACTGATTGTCACAAGCTGGCAGAACCTGAATAAGCTTCTGGAAATGTCACTGAGTCCCCTGATGACATATGTGACACACAACTACATAAAATATCTTTGCATCTTTTTTATACTCATTTATTAAATATTTCGTTCATTCCACATGTATGTATTGAGGATCCATCCTAACTCTAGATTTCAATGTAATTCTCTATTCTGTGTACATGGGTAGATAATAAATATGGTCTATGAATGAATATATGTATAGGAGATGTGTATCGTATGGTTCTGGTAGTTTTTCCATAAACATTTTTGCCACCTAACTAATTGATCATAAGGCATTTTTGTCACAAAGGAGAAAAGAAAGAAAAAAATAAAAATGCCATCAAAAGGACATGATGAAACATGAAGAATTAGCAACAAAATTAAGAAATCTTTGCATGTGTGGGTAGATTCATGACAACCTTACACCAAAAACTACTTTTCTTTTTCAGTAAAACAGAAAAGAAAAAAGAGGGACATTGAAAGTACATCATGAACACATAAAAGTAGTAACAAAGTTAAAAGACAAAATATGTTCATATATGTTTACAAATACTCTATGTGTAGATTCATGCCAAACTATACTGAACAAACTACTTTCCTTTCCTGGATTGCACCTAAGCACTAGTCTCCCAAGTTTTTCATTTGTTCACAGTATTGTATACTTTCTTGGTACTTTTCAGTGATCAAACTTAACTAAAAGTGTGAAATCAGAGAATATAAAGCCAGAGAAATGAAGCCAAACTGTCATCCTGTCAGCTATTTCTTTCCTCTTTTATGGCAAAATTGCCTCACAGCCAACTTCCAATTAGTTATGTGGTGAAAGTGTTTGCAGAAAAGATGCGTTCAGTGCAACTAATAGACTTGGTTTTATACACACACATACGCACACACAAAACCCTGACCCTTGAACAACTCGGGTTTGAATGACTGGGTTCAATTATTCATGGATATAGTTCTCTCTACAGGTTCCACATGCACAGATTTAACCAATCCTGATGTTTCTGCATTGAGTCCCCAAATTTGGATCCCCTCATAGGAGGGTCAACAATAAGTATACACAGAGAGAAGGCAGTTCCTCTGTCCTAACCTTCATGTTGTTCAAAGATCAAGAGTATATCTGTGTGTGTATAAATGTTTATATGTTATATTTATTTCTATGACTTTCCTTAAAAACTTACCCTGACCACACTGATCCTCAAAATCTTTGTACAGCAAACTACGCTTCCTTTTGAAAATTCTTGCTTTCTTAACCTAGATAGAGAAGCTCATTGACAAAGACTGACCAACTATGGCTGTACCACTTCCATTGAAGATTATCCTAAATCATTAACTTTATTGTTCACAGCAGGGATTTATCTATATCCTATATATAATATAACTCTGAAAGCAGCAGGAAGGTCAAGGTATTTAATCTGAGGCTTGAGAGTCTTTCTAGATTGATTTAAGTAAATTAGGTTCATAATAGGTTCATGTTACCTATTGAATAGCCACTAAACACACTATCTAATTATATAAATATTTATATAAAGGTATATGTATACTAGAATGACATTAAATCTTCAGCTGATGAATACAATATATCTGAATAAAGCCATGCTGTCCACTTTAAAATTATTTTCTTAAAAAAAGTTTATTTAGAGCTCACCCTGGTGGCACAGTGGGTTAAAGCACCGCATTATCAGGCTCTCTGAAGCCACTGCAGCACAAGTTTGATTCCCAGCCAGCGAGCTGACCCACATGGAGTGACAGACCTTTCCTGACGTGCCCACTGCTCCCCTCAGCAGTGTACTTCATTGAACTGCCTGTTCTACTCCCCACTCTGTCTCTGGTGAATCTTCTCACCACCAAACCTCTGGCCTGTACTGTAAGCATAAATAAATAAATCTTAAAAAAATAGTTTATTTTTTTGTGTAGAACTGGGGTTCAGGCCAGAGGTGTGTGGGAAGAGAGGATTCACCACAGACAGAGTGGGGAAATCTGTTCAGAGAGATCTACAGAAATATACTGCTGATGGGAGTGGTAGGCAAGACAAGAAAAGTCCTCTGTGCCATAAGGGTTAGTTAGCTCCTTGGCAGGGCATGACATTCAGGCCTTTGTGGTGATAGTGGTGAAACTTAACCCTTAGACCAGCAGGGAAGCCCCCATTTTAAAATTATTTGGGGTAAAAAAAAAAAAATCAATGGTACTCTTGTTTCCATTTCAGTTTTTGGCAGCTGCTGACAAGATCAAGTTCTGGATGGAGATGAATTCTATTGTGGACATCTTTACTATCCCACCAACCTTTATTTCTTATTATTTAAAGAGTAATTGGCTAGGTAAGTGTGCTGAGGGAATCAGGAAAAAATCTCTAAAAAAACCCTCAATACTCATTCATAAGTATCCTCCATTTTTCTTGAAAGCATAATTTAAATAATTCCCCACTATTTTTGTACAGCATTGTTATTAATATATTTTCAGAATTCATTTTCTTTAGAGATTTATTTATTTATGCATAAAAAAACTGTAGCATTGAGCAACAGTGCAGGGAAGGGTGAGGGGATTCACCAAAGACAGAATGACATTGAATCTTCAAAACTTCATGTCAGAATAGGCAGATCTATTGAAGTACACTGCTGAGGGGAATTGGGAATGAGACAGGCGAGGGCTGCCTCAGCATGTGTGTCAGCTCCCTGGCCAGGGATCCATCCATGCTGCTGTGGCTGGCATAGCTTGACAGTGCTGAGACTTAACCCCTTGTGCCACTACGGAGGCCCCATTACTTTTGTACTCAGTAGCCATGGATGTACTTGATGCACAGCCAGTATTTGTTTCTGAACTGATCTCACCCACAACCTGAGAGGCAAGGCCCTAATATCCCCCATGACACCTGTTGCTGAGGTCCCTTATGAACTGTGAAAAGGGGAGGCCCTAACCCCCATGTTAAGATAAAATACCTGCTTCAGTTTTTGAAAGGAACAAATCAATATCCAGACATGTTAAGATATGTTAAAGATTTGTTTAATTAATTGCTTAATCTTTAAGATGGATATATTGGCAGAGCACGGAAGTTATGTGACTCATCATTTTTAATTCGATTTTATGATATTATCTATAAGCTACTTCTCACAATTGTTACTATTAACCTTTATAAAGTAAAACATCAGGCATACACTTGATATCATATGCATATTATAAAGATGTTATACTATGGAATTTAAATGGATTATGGATGATTTGTTCTCTGTTCTAAAGAGGAGTAAAGTATGAGCAGTACTTTTACATGCAAGGCAGGACTAATTGAATATAGGAGGTATATTACATGAAGAGGTAGGTATATTACATGACGAGGTAGGTCCTCTTATAACCCCCATTTTACAGATGAGTAGGTAGAGAAATTAAGAGGATTGTTTTAGATTACAACATCTTTTTAAGTGTCAGGTTGAGGATTTGAATTCAAGTTTATGTCCTTTAACTTGCGACATAGTATATGTTATCATTTCAGAGAGGGAATGAAAGTAAGCAGTCCCAGCGTAGTCATAATTAAGACAACTACCCGCAATGGCCCTTTTCTTTGTACTGCTTTCTATGATTGCTTTACAGGTTTAAGGTTCTTAAGAGCTCTGCGGCTGCTCGAACTCCCTCAGATCTTGCAGATGCTGCGAGCCGTCAAGACCAGGTAATTGCCAGCCCCACCTGTGGTACTACTTACCGTCTTGGTTTGGAAAATTACAATGTAAACGATGCCTTCAATTCAACTGGTTTTCCATCAGAATTTCAGAGCAAAAGTCATGAAATTCCTGAGCCCCTGAGATATTCCCTTCCTTTCTCCCATTACATTAACATCACACACTGGCCAATAAGTTTGTAGGCCTTTGTTTCTTCTTTATTGTGTAGTTGCAACACTTATGTTCATTTAGACTTTAATTCTGGACTGATAATGTGCACTCCGCCACTCTCCCCACACTCCAAAAATAATCAAAACAACTCAGAGGTTCTCTCACATTTGTTTCTAGGTCTTGGGACTCTCTCCCGCCTAGAAATATAATTGTATTCCTGAGTGTGAGAGCTGTCCAGAAGAAGCAGCAAACCGTTGCTTATAGAAATAGTGATCCACGTGTCTCAAAAAAAAAACCACTGTTGAGCAACAATTTTCTAAGACTTTAAGCTGTTTAGTGTCATGTAACCCACTCAAAATATCCATGCCTATGATTTCACCAGAAGCTTGAAATTCAACAGGCCAGGTGGATTTCACTGCTAAATGTTTATGTACTAATGGGATCAAGCAGGGCTATTCACATGTGCTAGGTAGCCCTGCTTGAAAACAATAGAGATTTCAGATCAAAGATACTGGTTTGAATTCAGGAATAAGAGAGTATATCTTTGTGATCTGAAATTTCATTTTGAAGCCTACTCTTTAGATTCCTAGGATACTGCATTTTGTACTATTGTAAGATAACAGCAACCTATCAAACTGGTTTTATGATGAAACACATAATAGTATTTTTTAAAAAGCACTGTAATATAAGTCTAATGGTGACAACCAAATCTGCACTTCTCTGAACAAATGTGTAACAAGGTGAGTTTTAGTGTGTGCATCTCAAACTCTAATAAGAATGCGAATTACCTGAGGACCTTGGAACAAGGCAGCTCTGTAGGTCAAGGGTGGCACCTGGAGTCATGCATTTCAAACACTCCCAGGCAGTGTCTTTACTTCTAGGCCATGAACCACACTTTGAGGACTAGGGTTTTGAGGACTAGGGTATTTGCGTTATTCTGGAACTCGTTGGAACCCAACAGCTCTTTGTCCTTGTTTTTCTAGCACTTCAGTAAAGTTTTCCAAGCTGTTATCAATAGTTCTCAGTACCTGGTTTACTGCTGCAGGATTCATTCATCTGGTAAGCGTCTAATCAACCTTTTAATGTTGCCTTGCACCATGCATGCCCCCTCCTCTGAACAAATGAGATGTAAACCTGAACTTCTGTTTCAACACTAACACTATCACGTTAATCTTTCTGATCCCCTGAGTTCTTTCCATCCCCATGTTTCTCACAAGTATCTAACTCCTATACTCAAAATATGTAGATCTAATGAGCTTGCCATTCAAAATTACAACAATAGGAAAAACTTCATCACTCTATTTTCTTTGGTGTTCCATAATTTTAAAGAGGAATAAAGAGTCATAGAAATGAAAAGCCTGGAGAATTGTGTGTGTGTGGGGGGGGGAGTAAAGGTGGAGGGGGCAGCAGGTGGAGATAGTGTGTGGAATTGCTGAGTTGCAGAGAAATTTGGGGCTTTCATGATTCTAAAATTAATCTATATATGTAGTTGCCTCTTTTGCACACAGGAAAGGCTAGTTCTTATTACACATAATCATCATGTAACAAATGGATTTCAGTGATAGAAAAGAAACTACTTTGTTGTCCAGAGGACAGTTGAGGAGCAGTCATTAGCAAATGTAGAACTGAAGTGGGATATTAAAAGCCTGAAAAGGTTTTTGAAAAACAAACAGAAAAATATATAGCAGTCTTGTTTTTGCTCAAATCTTGCTCTCAAAATTAATTCTAACAATAGCCAGAAAGAGAAAAAAATGTGTAACATCATATCCACTTCACCCAGGAAAATGTCAACTACTATGTCATTACATGATAGGAACCTTGAAGAAATATGAAGACAGTAACACCCTTCCTCGTGATAAAGCAGGAGAGAGATTTCTCTGAAAAGCATTGTCAGTGCCGTAAAGGCTGATCTCTGCACCTGGGATTTGACTGAGCAGCGATCATTGTTGTCCCTGAAAAGACCCTCTACATCACAGAACTGTAGGCAAGGGAATGCTGGAAGAGAGGCCACAATAGAAGAACTCTCTTGCCTTCCATAATCATCGAACATAGATGCTCAGGCTGAAGTTGGCTACGTGCATATTTTATTTGACATACTTACTTTTTTTTTTTTTTTAAGATTTATTTATTTGTGCATACAGACCTGGGATACAGGCCAGAGGCTCAGGGACGGCCAGAGGCTTCACCAGAGACAGAGTGGGGAGCAGAACAGGCAGATGGACAAAGTACACTGCTGAGAGGAGCAGCGGGCAAGACAGGAGAGATCTGCCATGCCATGTGGGTCAGCTCCCTGGCCAGGGATCAAACTCACACTGAAGTGGCTATGGCTAGCTTGCAGTATCGTGTCCTAACCCATTGCACCAC